TCTCTCTCTCTCTCTCTCTCTCTCTCTCTCTCTCGGTAGTTTGTCCAGGAAGAAATCATGGAGTAGTGATGAGTGCTCAGTTTCAAATCAGATGAGCCCAGGTTCACATAGTCCCCTCCATCTGCTAGCAGGCTGATGGGGACAAAGCACTTCATGTTTCTTCTTCATTGTTTTCTATAAAATAGAGATAATAACTACTTCACAGGTTGTTGGAGGATGAAATAAAATTGTGATTGTGAAATGTTTCACAAGCAGCAAAGTGCGGGAGGCAGTGCTGTCTCCTGAGCTCACAGCAGGATTCCAGTATCCGTGACACCCGGCCCATGGTGTGGCCTGGGTGGCAGGGTTAGGAAAGCAGCAGTGCCATAGCATGAGGTCAGAACGTGAGCCCTGGCTCTGCTGCTCACTAGCTAAGAGGGCCTGGGAGAATTATTTCATTCACTAAGTCTCATATTTTGCATCTGTAAATGAGAGACTAACACGTACCTTTTAAAGAGTTGTGAAGACTAACTGAGATCCTGTATACGTAACAAGGTGCTGAACTGGGCCTCAGTCAAATAGCACAGGTGCCTGGTCCCGCCATTCTAGAAGTGAGACAGACACCCGGGGCCATGCTGTGACGCCATGGAAACTCACCCAGTTCAGATGGCCTGCTGTCCCAGCTACTATCCCTCAGGACTGAACACTGCATTCACCCTGAAGTCACTTCCCCTAACTGCTCTTCCTCAGTGGCAGGCCTATTCCTGCAGGGGGTGTAAAACTTCCTTAGAACTGAGCTAGAATCTGAGACTCCTGCCCAGTCCTCCTTCCTTTCCCTCCTTTTCCTCTGTTACCCCTGCTTCCCTATTTTATTTTTCAGTTGCTTCCCCCGGTAAATCTCTCATTTGTCTGCATGAGATCCTGTCTCTGTGACAGCTTCTCAGAGGAACCGTTTTGTCACCCCCCCGGATCATCTACCTCCAGACTGTAAAAGCATGGCTACTCAAGCAGGAAGCGGCAGTTTGTTTTGAAAAGAGTTGTTGGAGTGACATGGCTGACCCTCTCAACCTCGTCCTCAGTTGGGAAACCTTCAGGCTCTTTCAGTCTCTCACCAAATCAAGAGAAAAGAGCTTCAGAGGGTCTGTGGCAGAACTTTCTACGTGTTCCAAGGACTTGTAGCTTACAGGAAGAAGACAGTTAAAGCTGGGGGCCTTTGGAAAGTGACTCCAGTAGAGTGATAGACTCCAGGAGTCCAGGTTCTGGCACATAAAAGGCTGCAGAGAAACAGTCAGGGTCAAGGGTGTTTGAGACCCTGCTACACCACCATGTTCACCCAGGTTGTACTATAGGACTGTCTTCCTCAGCAGCCTTCTCCCATGGGGGCACCTCCCTCTCCCACGTGCCTCGGAGTTTGGATCAGAATCCTCTTTGTGCTTCCTTGCTCCTGAGCTGAACCATGGGCCATTCCTGGAGGTGCTCTACTCTCCCTCACCTCCAGGTCCTTGTGAGTACTGTGTCCACCACAGTTCTTCCTTGGAAGCGTTATTGGACTTCTAAAACATCACAAACCCTGTGTGCTCCCCATTTTCCTCTTCAATGTGACTGGTGATTTGGGGTGCATCTTCCTGGGGCCCTGGGAATCCTCTGACTGATAGATGACTTCCTTCTCTCCCTCCTCTCCTCTGGTTGCTCATCTGTCACCTTCCCTAATACTCAGGTAGGTGAGTCCTTCTCACTGTGTGCTCCAGGCCCATTGCTGCACTGTCCACGCTGCACTGTTCCTGCCTGCCCCCCACTAGACAGGGAGCTCCTCTAGGCAGCAGCCACCCCAGATGGGTACCTGTGACCTGATACCCATCACATCTGGGGCGCCCTGAGGACTCAGTGAAAGGACAGACAAGTAGGTGATGGGTACCTGACATCAAACATTTTCTCTGCAGCCATTATTTTGATGAGGACCCAGAGCTCATCCGGGAAGGAAACAACTGAGTGTACATGACAGATGGTAGCAGAGGTGTGGGGAGGAGGTCTGGCCCAGGAGCCAGAGGAGCAGGAACTGAGTGTTGCTTCTGCCAGCAGCACGTTTGTGATTCAGGACACGTCTCCATGCCATTGTGGGCCTGTTTCTGCATCTGTGCTTTGAGATGTCTGGAGTTGTTTCTAATGACCTTGGAGCTTCCAGGTGCAATAGACTCAATCATCTGCAAGGTCCCTCTAGCCTTGGATCCTAAGCATTGTGTGGAAGGTGAGATTCAGCTGGAAGAAGAGCAAGAGTTCAAGGCTCCAGGCTTTAAAGTCAAGTGCCCTGGATCCGAGCCTGGTCCGTGTG